TTCCCGCTCATGACGTTAAGGCCTTTTTATCAATTATTGTTATTTATAGGCACACGATAATTTTTCTCTCTCTCTCTACACATATATGTATCTCAAAACAAAATATCCAGATTTTCTTCTAATTCATTTATCACAGCTAACCCAACCATAACGCTTTTTGAGTGTCATTGAAGCATGCAGGATACATAAATGATTGTATGAAAAAAAGAACAACATATTCTGGTTCCCTAGTTGGTTAATTATAATCTAAGCTGATATTCCTTTAGTCCATCTTTTTATCTACTCTCAACTATAAATTGTTTGATAGACTTAGGGATATATCTAACATTGGCTGGTAAATTCTAGACTTGCCTTATTTCTTATGGTAGCTATACACGTTTATGTAGTTATTTTATGCCCTCTAATCTGCTATTTAACTGCAGTTACAAGTGCTACAAATGGTTAGTAATGAGCTGAGCCAGGAGTGGTTTAGTGGTTAGCAAGCCGGACTATGATTCCGAGGGTTTTTTATTCACGTCCCGTTGTCGCAAAATAAGTTGCACTTCTTGCTATGGGGCTGTGGGTACTCCATAAAAATGGCGGTCAAATCCAATTAATCGATTCGAGTAGAACCAAAGTTAGAGGTTGTGTGTTGTTGACTAGTTATCTTTACTCTAGTCTATTAGTTAGAGGTTGTGTGTTGTTGACTAGTTATCTTTACTCTAGTCTATTAGTTAGAGGTTGTGTGTTGTTGACTAGTTATCTTTACTCTAGTCTATTAGTTAGAGGTTGTGTGTTATTTCAATGAAGAAATACTAATTGCTACAGATGTTTGTTGGCTGAAAACGTGTGTTTTTTAAGTAATCAAAATACTTTCCTGGATCTTCAACTTTTAACCTCACGAAAAACCCTAAAGACACTAACACACAAGGGGTAGTCACAGATATTCAGAGCGTGTCTAGCAAAACTTGACGCGAATCTAGACTTGGTATTTGTCTGTTTCTTATCATGAAGACTCATTGAATGACAGTAGTGTAATCGAGGGTAATAGCAGATAAACTGAGTGTCGTATTTTAGCAGGCCTGATAAGCCCTGGTATCGAGCAAAAGGCCTCGTAGGCACTGGATATTGCAGATGTGATGTAGTTGTCATATCATAGCATATTCTTCTTTCACTCATATTTCATAGAATTACTAATGTTCGTTTGTCCGTTATGAGTTTCGCCCAAAGCTATACGAGGGCTATCTGCGCTAGCCGTCCCTAATTTAGCAGTGTAAGACTAGAGGGAAGGCAGCTAGTCATCACCACCCACCGCCAACTCTTGGGCTACTTACTCTTTTACCAACGAATAGTGGGATTGACCGTCACATTATAACGACCCCACGGCTGAAAGGACGAGCATGTTTGGTGTGACGGGGATTCGAACCTGCGACCCTCAGATTGCGAGTCGAGCGCCCTAACCACCTGGCCATGCCGGCCAATTATTAATGTAGTTTTCACCCGTTGACATTGTGTTTTCTCGACAAGCTCCAGGAATATGAAGTCTAATTTTCTGGTTCGCCAGTTCTTCTGAATGATGATAAAGTTAATACAATTAATATGATAATAATAATAATAAATAAACAATTGGTTTTAGAAATAGAATATATAAATAACATTGTTTTATTAATTCTTACTCCAAAAATCTGATTTGTAAATGGCATACATAATTGATAATTACTACAATTAACTTACTTAATCTTAGTCTAATTCACAACATAACAGTCTTTCATGAACATTATTGATATAAATAGTGAATAGACCATTATATCTCTGTCGTATTCTAACCAGCCTGATGAACTCTGACATTGAACGAAAGGCCTCGTCGGCACTGAATATTGCACATGTAGTGTGGTTGACATTCCTCATAAGCTCTTAAAATTAACCATTTTTCATTTGAGGAATATGGAATTTATCCACTTCTCGGTTAAAGAATAAAGAGTTTTTTCTCTCCTACTCTCTTGCAAATCTTGGCCCCACCAAAAAGTAGAGCCAAGGCATATTCCAAATATGACATAAAGTGATTCAGGCGCATTTAATTATGGACTGAATGTCTTCCAGTTATGGTTAATTAACCCACTTTTTTACCACCACACCACTGCCTAGTGGATTAAGTCTATGTATCTCTATTAGCCGATAGGGAATGTGTTTTTCGAAATGGCTGTTGAATGTTTCAAACTGAATATATTTCAATGTATAGAAATGCAGCTTTCTTAAACCCAGTTTAAAGCCACAAAATATTTATTTAGAGTAGATAGTTCTAACGAGTTTAAATATATATATTTAAGTTCAACACACAATATATTCTAAAAAATGGGAAAATAATTAACTTATCGGTTTTCTTCGGCCCATTGCAAGCCTGGGAAGTACCTTGATTAATATGAAATATTCAGGTTTCTATAATTCTTTATTATTTTCCAGGCTTATATTACACACTATTTGTGCATGTACAGTTGGATGGTGTTTTTATATGCTATTATGTCGAATGTTATCGATAATTCCCAATACACATATTGTGAACAGATATCGATATTCTGTAGACTGATGTTTCGAAGCTTTTATAGAAGTGTGCAATTAGTTGTTGTTTTCTAAGCTTGTATTGAATGTACGTGTGTATGGTATTGTCATGTGTTTTCTAAACCAATATTATAGTATGTATGTAGTAGTCAGCGTTTTATAGATAGTTTTAATCATTCTGTGATTATTTAGTTCAAAGATAATGAGATAACTATGATTACCGAGGTTGAGTACATTACTTAGTTCAAAGATAATGAGATAACTATGATTACCGAGGTTGAGTACATTACTTAGTCCAAAGATAATGAGATAACTATGATTATTGAAGTTGAGTACATTACTTAGTCCAAAGATAATGAGATAACTGTAATGTACTCAACCTCGGTAATCATAGTTATCTCATTATCTTTGAACTAAGTAATGTACTCAACCTCGGTAATCAGTTATCTCATCATCTTTGAACTAAGTATAATGTACTCAACCTCGGTAATCATAGTTATCTCATTATCTTTGAACTAAGTAATGTACTCAACCTCGGTAATCTCATTATCTTTGAACTAAGTCAATGAAACTATGCTGCGGGGCTATTATTCGACATGCACGGTCGTTAGCTAAAACGTGGACTTGGCGACATGGACATGTAACAAGTAGTGAGGCTTCAAAATCGTGTTAATACAATGTACTCAACCTCGGTAATCATAGTTATCTCATTATCTTTGAACTAAGTAATGTACTCAACCTCGGTAATCATAGTTATCTCATTATCTTTGAACTAAGTAATGTACTCAACCTCGGTAATCATAGTTATATCATTATCTTCGAACTAAGTAATGTACTCAACCTCGGTAATCATAGTTATCTCATTATCTTTGGACTAAGTAATGTACTCAACCTCGGTAATCATAGTTATCTCTTTATCTTTGGACTAAGTAATGTACTCAACCTCGGTAATCATAGTTATCCAAAAGTCTCCGTCGTAAAGCTATCATGTTTAAAGCTCACCCCGCCTCCCTGTATCTTTCCATACGCCATCTTGTATATGAGGACAACGATTCCGAACGCCTGTTTCGACAGTCCGATCGCACAGAAGTCCGTAGGCGCTGCATTCTGTGACTTGACCGGTACGTCTTCGTATGGACAAGCATGAATGTCCATTTCATTCTCCAGCTGTTTGAGGTATGAAACAGTTAAACAGATATGTCGTGGAAGCAAAGCAACTTGTGCACTCTTTACTTGTGTCACTTTCCACACGCAGACCCTTCTTGATTGTGTTACATACTTGTTGCTTGCCACTACTGAGGTACAACTTGTTGCAAGTCTCTTTGAGGATGTTTTTTTTCCCCAAGATGATTCACATTAGTTTTTATCCAATGTCATTAAGTGAAATGGATATTCCCATTTTGGAAATTATAAATCCCAGATTTGAAAGCATCTTTATCATCCAAGTATATTCATGTATGGATTATTTTACGTCACAAACAGTTGTTACATACCCTCGTCAAAAGCAGTTAGTTACGTCACTACAAAACGTCAAACAATGTCAACCTGTAGTTCTGATACATTCCATTCCACCGCGACTTTAAATCGGCTATGATTGTCAGGTGACTTGCTGATTTGCCTGTTCAAAATCGTTTTAATATAACGTAAACAACTTTTTGTAATTTCTTGGTGTTTATTGAGGAGACGAACCAATGAACTTTTTTTTTCTTCCTTTATCCTAACTCGAAGACATTCATTATTTGGTAATGATCTTGAATTCCAGAATAATTTCTGATTTGAATGCTTATGCATGCGTGACTAAAAGGAGAAGCGTGAAAGCCTTACTTATCCATCTTTTTATAGGCACGTGTGTCTTTGATTTTTTTACATCTTTACATATTTTAATAATGAAAATAACAAAACATACTACGTTTTATAAACTCTTCTAAGGATGTGCAGACTTTTCTGGATATAACTGCATAATAAAATACAACTTTCCGACTAATATAATTTGGTATATTCATTATCAAAATATCTAAAATAATATGAGAGAAGTAATTAAAATTTTTATTTAAAATTTCTTACACTTCTTTGCAAATCACCCAATTCAATCAGATTCTATATAATTAGGATAACTACAGCGCAGTGGAAAGTCGAGATGAACCAGCCTGTCAAGCTCTAGGGAACAACGTTCTCTTATTATAAGAACTGTCTGCTTTGAGCCTTCTTGTTATAGAAATCGTTTACTTTGAGCTCTCTTGTTACAGGTTTCATTTGTCTCGAGCCCTGTTGCTACTAAAATTGTTTACTTTGAGCCTTTTTGTTATAAGATTCATTTTCCTTGAGCGCTGTTGCTATAAACATCGTCTGTTTTGTGCCCGGTTTCTAAAGGATAGATCTACTTTGAGCCCTATTGTTATGGGAATCATCTTCTTTAAGCCATGTTTACCTTACTTTATTAATGTTTTATTCTTGATGACAGGCTGCAGGAATCAGTGCCATCACTGCAAGATGACACAAGAAGACATGACCTCCCATAGTCCTTGCTTGCGACTGTTACAAAAGTGGAGAGGTTCCAGAAATCTAGTGTTACTTATTGTAGCCATTGCTATTCTCTTGGATAACATGCTACTTAGCGTTGTGGGTAAGTAACTCATTGTGTTATATTGTTGTATACTAGTTACTTAGCTAAAGTACGATTGCTGAAACTAGTTTATTTTATTGGTGAATTCAACATATCTCTTTGGGCAGCAGGGAAAGTTTTGTAGAACAGCTTTAATATTATTTAAACTTAAAAACAACGTTTTCAGTTCAAAAGATTCTTAATTTAACTAGAGTTTATGGATTAATCTGCCAACTGAGAGATATGTTGATTTAAAAAATTACATGTTTTCTTGTGCATTACAAAAATATTACACTAGAGACTTTTAGGAAAATTAAACTCCAGTGTTTATGGGGTGTTAGCTTTATTCACATATTTGTCAGGTTGTATTACCAAGAAGACTTCAATGAGGTTTATTCGACTTAACAAAATTGCTATTGTTGAATATATCTTCGTAAATAGGGTATAACTACCCACTATTCTACAACATTAATCAATCAAAATATTCACAAATGTGACTTTAAAAGTAACTAATATAAAACTATCTAAATGATCATATGAAGCTTAAAACATTGATTTACGTCAAATCTGCTCTTCAAAAGTTTTTTATCGATTTTGAAATATTGTAACTAAAAAGACAAATAGGAATTACGTAATCAGAAATTTAACTTTTGGTATTTGTATTAAGATATAACTTAAGTTAGAGTTTCAAATTGAACTTTGGATATTTGTTTTAAAAAATAGCGTGTGTGTGTGTGTGTGGTTCTTATAGCAAAGCCACATCGGGCTATCTGGTGTGTCTACCGAGGAGAATCGAACTCCTGATTTTAGTGTTGTAAATCCGTAGACTTAACGCTATCCCACCGGATGACTATATTAAAACTACGAATTGCGTTAAAGTACCAATCTCCAACTACATTTTTTGGGTTTCGATATTTGTAAGGAACATGGTGTGAAAAACACTCGTTAACTTGGTTCTACAGTGAACAATTATAAATATGTCATACCAATCATATTTCTCTATCGTACTTGAGCTAATTTCATTATCATTCAGCAAATGATTAACTGTGACATGTGCAAGTGAAGCTGTGTTTGCAACAAAGGACACTCTCCAAACAGATGTGGCAACTAACAATAATCATGTGAATATTATATAAGATCTAACAGTCATCGAACAAGTGTTGCTTAACTAGGAGCGTAGCCAGCATTACCATGTATAGATAGGGTCTTTTTTTTTCAAAAATGTGGACCTTTTCTTGTAAACAAATTTAAATGAAAGTCGAGTGATTATTATAAAAAAAACAACTTAGGAGATAGTGGACCTTTTAGAACTTTTTAAAATATTGGAATGATTATTCTATCCCTTTCTACCTCCCTGGCAACGCTCCTGGTTTAATTACATCAGCACGGAACTCTCATTAAGAGTTTGAAATGCAATAACGTATGTCATTAACCTGAAGATGACGTTTTGAGGACTATATGTTTTTGGGTTTTTTATATCCAAGCTGACGAAATAAAAAACCGAAGGAAAAACTATTTATTTCGAAAAATTGTGTCATCTGAAATGCCACGTGTCTAGTCATGCTACAACTTTTCTTATAATTCTATTTCCCCCGTATTAAATTTTGTATAGGTTGTGGCACGTTGTTTTATATATATATAGACCATTATTGTTCTCAGTTCTTAACTTTGATGGAACACACACCGGTTAAAATAAATTATTCTTTTTTGTCGTCTTAAGCAATGTTTGTTAGCTGTGAGGCTTGGGTTATTATAAACTATATTCACGCCTCCAAGTCATCTATACGCCCACCCTTGACTACTAGAGGAGCTTTTTTCTGATAAGTGGTGTATAGATATCGTTGACGGCTAGAGCGGTAGTTATTGAGAATCTGTCGAGTAGGGGCTATCTCGTGTCAAGTTTCCCCTTCCCCCTCTTCATCTCTGTCCTCGTAAATCACCCGCCAACTTGCTGGTTAGAAGACCCATGACTAGCACGCGCCAGCAATGTGTGGCATGCAGCAGAAACCGATAAGCGAAGCGTGAACGAGTTTTCTACCTTGATGGCCTGAGATTATGAGCTTTTCATTAGCATGCCAATGGTGCTGCAGCGCACATAATCCCAAGACTCTAGTGTACATGTTTGTCTCGATGAAGGACAATAAAGAATAGAGGTTGTGTTAATCATTCATAGCCTTCGTCCATCTTAGCCTTGTCTTTATACAATTAACTCGAGAAATAACAATAATAATAATGATAACGCATATATATAAAACAAATAAAAAAAAACCCATAACACTTTCATTCCAAAAACAAAAGTTGTAGAATAAAGAAAACTGGTATAATGTGGTTTAATTCGTATTTTTTTATGCAAGGTTTAATAGTCAAATTGAATAGATTAAGGTTTTCGATATGCTTCTTCACTCTTCTATGTTGTCCATCTATATATATATATGACATGCAAAAAAAGTTTAGATAATTAATGTACACTCGGAATACGTTTCTTAAAATTCTCTAAGTGTTTCTTACAGGAAGACAATAAAAATATCTTATTAGCAGTGAAAAAAGGATATTTGTTGCTAGGAAACATTACAATCTACAAGAGAAATTTGCTTGTTTTTCAGAATTTCGCGCAAAATTACGCACAGTTATATTTAATTTTGAAATTATAGACTAGAGGGACGGCAGTTAATCAACATCACCTCTCGCTAACTCTTGGGCTACCTTTGCTTAATCGAATTGTGAGATTTGACTGTCACTCTTATAGCGCACCCATGATCCAAAAGTGCAGAGCGAGTTTTTGTGGCAACGAGCCACGAACCATGGATACGCTCATTTATATTCCGGGTACACTGACCACTAGACCACGTCCGGCCCAACATAATAAATACATCCAAGAAAACTATTACAAAAAATCGAACTATTGCAGGGTTCCATAGCAGGATATAATATCAATATAAGCAATCGAACTATTGCAGGGCAGGGATATAATATCAATATAAGCTTCCATAACAGGCAGTAGTTCGATTCCTGTTATGGAAGCTTATATTGATATTATATCCTTGCAATAGTTCGATTCCTGCTATGGAAGCTTATATTGTTATTAAAAAGCATCTTTTTTACGACAGTCAGCTTTTGAGCCTGTACAAAGAAGACAGAAATACAATTTTTAAACCATTTAATTTAACGTTTTGACGCCATTTGAAACAACCTCTAGCGATGGTGAAATTGTGTACAAGAAGGTCATTATGTGCACGCGCTCGTTCGTTAAATAGGATGTAGTGACTGCTTCTACCACAGAACGTTTTTTAAGTAGGTTGAGTTATTTTTGTACCTTTGTTATAATATTGTTGCTGTTTTTTATATAGAAAGAGATGATTAGAATCGTTTATTTCTTTTCAAAAAAAGTCTCATCTTTAATATTTATATTTTGACAGGACGGTATGTCGTCGCTAATCAAGCAATATTCACAATATAAAATAATAATAAAGGACTTTCACTTTACACCAACAAGACACGTTACTGAATAACACCATATAATGCTTATATGTTTACAGAATACTTTGATTATTCCGCTCTTTCAGTATAGACATCGCCATTGTTGAGCTTAGAAATGAACGTTTCTTCTGTTGAGGTTCTGTAAGATAGTCACCACGGTTGAGCTAAACTACTGTGAAACTTCAAGTTAATTACGAAGGCTGTCTCCTGTAGTTCTTTCTTTAAGTTACATGGCTGAGAGAAAAAAACGAATGAGCCTTTTAAATACTGTAAAGCTTTATTTAAATCACGTTTTCCGATGGCTCAGCGCCCCCCAGTGGCACAGCGGTATGTCTGCGAACTTACAACGCTAGAATCCGGGTTTCGATACTCGGGGTGGGCAGAACACAGATAGTCCATTGTGTAGCTCTGTGCTTAATTACAAACAAACAAACAAACCGATGGCTCGGCGATAAGTTTGTGGTCTTACAACGGTAAAATCAGAGGTTCGATGCCCCGCGGTGGACAGAAAGTAGATAATCCATTGTGTAGCTGAAAAAAACACAATTATTTTTTCAATCACATGGCTGATCTAAAAAACGGAGATGATCCCTGACCTAATGTAGATATTTAAGTCACATGGTTAAGCTAAAATATAAAAATGAAAAATAAATTAATAAATAAGGGAGATGATATTCTAATCGACGCTACATGTATTCATTTAAATCACATGTATGAGCTACAAAACAGAGATGATCTTCTGACTGACGCTACATGTATTCATTTAAATCACATGTATGAGCTACAAAACAGAGATGATCTTCTGACTGATGATACATGTATTCATTTAAATAACATGTATGAGCTACAAAACAGAGATGATCTTCTGACTGACGCTACATGTATTCATTTAAATCACATGTATGAGCTACAAAACAGAGATGATCTTCTGACTGATGATACATATATTCATTT